CCGCACCCGCAGCAAAAAAAAAAACGCGACCCCACGGCACCCGCAACAAAAACAAAAACGCGCCCCCGCACCCGCAGCAAAAAAAAAAAACGCGCCCCCCGCACCCGCAGCAAAAAAAGAAAACGCGGCCCCGCACCCGCAGCAAAAAAAAAAACGCGCCCCCGCACCCACAGCAAAAAAGCACCCGCAACAAAAAAAAAAACACTCTTACCGGGTTTAGGGGCCAGCATCAACCAAGGGCTTCCTGGTATGCTTTGCTGCGACACTGTGGCCATGCAACAAGTTTAGGGAAACAAGGGGACAGTTCTGTTGCTTAGTAGCTGAGTAGATAACCTTTCAACCGGGGGTATATATATATATATGCTTATATATATATATATATATGCTTATATATATATATTATATACATATATATATCTATTCACTTATTTATTTATTTGTTTCTTTCTACATAATCCTACCATGAAAGAAAGGTTAACCTGTTTGTTGGGCCAGGGTACTCCGCAACTAGGGTGGACAACGGCCCACACAATGCGAGCCCAACCATCCTCCTGCCGAGCTGCGCCGTCACGGCTGACCGCGCCCCCAAAGATGCGGGTTAGGATCCAATAATCTCCCTTTTAGGGTTTAGGGTTTAGGACCTAAACCCTCACCCTAAGCCACGTAGCCTTCGAATGTACACTCAAGCAAGCCGAGGACGCTGAACGACGTCTACCACGGCATTTTGGCAGAAAAGGTTGCAGAGGCCGCCGGCGCCCTACTGGTCGGCCTCTGAGAGGATGTAGGGTGATTTAGGGTTCAGGGCTTTAGTTTAGGTTTTTAGGTGGATGTAGGGTTTGAGGTTTGATTAGGGTTTAAGGTTTAAGGTTTAAGGTTCAGGGTTTAGGATTTAGGGTTTAAGGCTTTAAGTTGTTTAGGCTTTTTCGGGTTCAGAATTCAGGGCCTGCTCAGGGTTTTTTGAGCTTCAGTGGTCGCCCCTAAACCCTAAGCCCTAAACCCTGAACCCTAAACCCTATAATCCCTAAACCCGGATGCTTCAAGCTTTTTCGGCACAATGGCTCAGGGCTCGCGTTGGGCCACTAAGTGGCTGGTTCTTAGTCGGGAACGAGGGAATGAGAGGTACCCTATCTACTCCCTTAAAGGGTATATGTAGGGCACCCTGCATGCTCCCTTAAAGGGCACACGTAGGGCCCCTAATTTCCTTCATTCCATGCTCAGAACCAGGGCGAGCTTTAGCTTGTTTTGTAAGACCAGGGGCTAAGTGTTTGGGGGCCTGTAGGGGTGCAGAGGTTAACCTTCAAAGCCCCTGGCTTTGGAGGAGTCTTTTGGGGTTCTTAAGGGAGGGGGGTCCAGGGGGTTGAGGCTCCCTAAGCTTCCCTAAGGTTCGCTAGGTACCCACCCCCCTTGAACCCCCCTCCCGTAAGAACCTTATAGAATCTTGGTCGGGAATAAGGTTCCTTGGGTACCTACCCTCCTTGAACCCCCCCCCTCCCTTAAGAACCCTACAAGAGTAAGAGGGTGTCTGCGTGTTGACCAGCTTGGCGCTGCATCAGAAGTTGAATGGTCACTTCCCAGATGGCTGCCGGACCCTCCCCACTCCTCCCTCACTCTCGCACCCCCTCTGCGCCCGAACCTTCCCCACTGTCCAGCCCCTCCAGGCGAAACCCTAAACCCTAACCCCGAGCCCTAAACCCTAAACCCCCGAACCCTCCCCGCCCTCCTGCAGCTTCCTCTGTTCATACAGTTATAAGCACCCCTAAACCCTAAACCCTAAACCCTAAACCCTAAACCCTAAACCCTACCCTAGGTTAGTAAGTACCATACCCTCCCCCGAGGTGCCGGTGCACGCCACCGGCCGGCACCGAGTGGAGCTGGGTCTTCGGCTGTCCGCTTCGGACTTGAAACTTTGCTTTGGGGAGCAGTTTAGGGTTTAGGGTATAGGGTATAGGGTTTAGGGTTTAGGGTTTGCTCAACTACTCACCCATCGTATGTCATGTTCTTTGGGCTTCAAGAGTCCGTCTGTTTGGAGTTTGCAGGCTCTTGAGCGGCTTGTGCCATCAGAAAGCTTCCTCGGCAAACAGAAATGAACCCCAGAAACTTGCTTCTGTACTAGGACCCTAGACCCGAAACCCTAAACCCTTAACCCTTAACCCTTAACCCTAAACTGCTCCCTAGGACCCTAAACCCGAAAGCCTAAGCCCTTTGGGGTTCGTGTCGCGCAAGCTGGGCAAAACTGAGGAATTCAGGGGCCGCTTTGGTGCCCCCCTCCCTGCAACTTGGGGTGTTTAGTTTAGGGTTCAGGGTTTAGGGTTTAGGGGTTCGGGTTTAGGGTTTAGGGTTTAGGGTTTAGGGTTTAGGGTTTAGGGTTTAGGGTTTAGGGTTTAGGGTTTAGGGTTTAGGGTTTAGGGTTTAGGGTTTAGGGTTTAGGGTTTAGGGTTTAGGGTTTAGGGGTTCGGGTTAGGGGTTAGGGTAAACACGTTGCGTGCACGAGGGTGACCCGAAAGCACCTATTTGAAACGTATTTGCCGTGGTGTGATTTCGAGGAATGCGGGCGCTGAGTTCCTTTAGAGTACTGCAACTCTTTCGGAGGTTCGTGGGTGGTTCTCACCATAGTTTTTAAACTCAAGCTGCAACTGGCTATTCTCTTATACACCGACGTCGTGGCTACCCATCCCATCTCCAAGCAGTCCCGCAACTCCGCCCATTCCCCTAAACCCGAAACCCTAAAACCGCTAAACCGCGAAACACGAAACCCTAAAACCCTAAAACCGCTAAACCCGAAACCCTAAAACCGCCTGAACCCTAATTCTAAAGCCCTAAACCCCAAAACCCTCAAAAAGGCTATCCCTAAAAACCCTAAAACCCTAAAAGCCCTAAACCCTCATTAAACCCTAAACCCTTAAAAAGGCAGGAGCACGACTCCGACTGCTCCCTGCGAGCTTTGGGCGATGCGACCACCATGACCTGGGGCCCCCAGAGTCTCTCAGTACCTGAGTGAGCACACTTTACACTTTTGGGGTTTAGGTTTTAGGGTTTGAGGTTTGAGGTTTGAGGTTTAATCTCCTATATAAAACTGAAGTGTACACTTTTCTGGGGGGCTTATGAACTCAGCCGCTAAGGTCTTGGGGCTTTCCTGAAGAGCGCCAGGCCTCTCATGGAAGCTTGGAGACGTTAGGGTTTTGGGGTTTTGGGGTGTTGGGGTTTGGGGGTTTGGGGGTTTGGGGGTTTAGGGGTTTAGGGTTTAGGGTTTTGGCCTTTTGATGGAAGCTTGGAGACTGATTTACAGAGTGGGAGGGGGGGGGGGGGGGGCTTTAAGGGGTTCAAGGTGGTCAGGGACGCTCAGTTTCTAGAAAAGTCTGAGTGTTTTGTTGTGTTTTGTATTTTCGGTGGGGGGGGGGGGGGGGGGGGGGGGGGGGTGGTTGTTTTCGCTCAGCCTTAGGAAGTGGTCCCTTCTCCTGAGCTGCATTGCCCGGATGCCGGCACCTGCCCGGGATCCTCGTACTCGCAGCTCCTTGGGCGACGAAATGCACCCTACACGGGTTGAGGGTTCATATACCTTATAGGAATCCTGGTAGTATAGGGTTTCGGGTTCATATAACTTAATAGGAATTCTAGTAGTATAGGGTATATGACCCCGAGTTTTAGGAGTCATTTGGGCCCCAAGGCTCTTCATGGGAGGCCACAACCTTAAGATCCACGTCTCGGGGACGCAGCCAGGGATTCAGATGGAGCTGCCCAAGGCGAGGGGTCTCAGCGTTCGCTCCTTTCAGGGTTTAGGGTTTAGGGTTTCTGGGTTGCTGAATGAAGGGGTGATATGGTCATGCACTTGCAGCGATTCTATGACGATAATCCTATACTATTCTTGTAACTCCTATATTTAGCATTAACATTTTGATATCTTGGTTCACTTCTCAACCCTGGTGAAGAAACAATGAGCAAGTACAAGTTGCTGAAGAACCTCGAAAAATAAAAATAAAAATCCCCTTATTAAGGGTGGGCTTATTATTCTTTCTTCTTTTGGGGCTCCTTATGGGGATTCTTAGTCTTTATTCTTTTGGGGCTCCTTATAGGGATTCTTACTCTGTATTCATTTTGGGGCTCTGAAGCAACCAGTAGGTAAGTACTTCTTTGGCTTCGGCCTTCCGTCGGCTCCGCTGGGGGGGGGGGGGGGGGGGGGGGGGGGGGGCATCCTCAGCCTTACAAACCCTAAACCCTAAACCCCTGAACCCTAAACCCTAAACCCTAAACCCTAAACCCTAAACCCTAAACCCTAAACCCTAACCGCGAAACTTCCATTTCCATTTCATCTTCTCTTTCCTCGAGAGTTAGCCTAAACCCCGAAAGCTGGACGAGGAGATGCGCGGCTTCTGGAACGACCCGCCTGCCCCTGAAGCTGCCGCCGTCAAGCAGGTTCTGCTGGGGCTCTGGGTTTAGGGTTTTGGGGGTTTAGGGTTTAGGGTTTAGGGTTTAGGGTTTAGGGTTTAGGGTTTAGGGTTTAGGGTTTAGGGTTTAGGGCTTAGCATGGACCCTGCGGACTTGGAGGTGGAGGGTTTAGGAGTTCAGTCCTTCTAGAGCCCTGCGTGCCCTGAACAACAAAGAACACGGATGCCCGAAACAAGGTCATCACTTGGGAACTCCCCTAAACCCTACAGAAACCCGGACCCCCACAATGCCAACCCTAAACCCTACACCCCAAACCCTAAACCCTAAACCCTAAACCCTAAACCCTAAACCCTAAACCCTAACTTTCCTTGGAAGCGGACGCTGTTCGGAGCAGGTGGCTGCCTCTTTGGCTTCCTTCCTCAACGCGCACTTCCAGGACTCCATGGAGGAACAAACTTCGAGTCGCCCTCTTGGGTTTAGGGTTTAGGGTTTGGGGTTTGGGGTTTAGGGTTTAGGGTTTAGGGTTAGGGAGTAGGGTTTAGGCTTGAGGGCTTGGGGCATGAGAGTCGCCCCTTCAGGGGCTTAACGTTTGAAGGAGTGCACTGAGAGTAACAGAGGAAACCTGTGAGACAGATGTCAACTTCGGATTGGCGTGCGGTGTCCACGGTGTGGCCACGGATGGCATCTGTGTTTGCAACGTGGGATATGTCGGCGACACGTGCGCGGACTGCGCTGAGGGCTATCTTTTGGCAGCTCGGTTGGTGACATTAGGGTTTAGGGTTGACCCGCTCGGAACTGAAAAGGCTTGCTCTTCACGGCGGAGGGCGGGGGAATGAGATCCCACAAGCAGATGAGGTTGATGGTCAGTGCGTGCGCCTGGTCTTGGTTGGCCCGCCTTCTGGCGCGACGCAAAAGTATGCCTCACTCTTCGATACAACAAGCCCCTCGGGCATAAACTCTCACTCTCCCGGTACAGAACACTAGAATCAAAGAAGGATGCCGTTAAGGGAGGCCTGGCTTCGTTACACGATCCTTGGGGACCAAATGTAGCTATAGTAGTACAGGGTATATGACCCAAATTGTCGGGTTTATTTGGTCCCCAAGAATACTAGCTATAATTTCCTTTTCAGGTATATGAACCATACACCCTTTTAGGTTCTCAATTTATTCTATTATAATGCCTGAATCAAAGGGTATGAATGTGAGTTTCGTTTTTTATATGGTTCGTCCCCAAGATTTCCACGACAGCTCAGGCTCTGGAAAGCGCTATGTCTACACCCGCAAGTTCGACACCGACCTATCCGGCTGCGGAAACGCTGGCTGCCGGCCTCTGAACATGAGCCTCCGCGTGAGGTGCCAAGGGTTGAAGCCCGAAACCCTAAACCCTAAACCCTCAACCCCAAACCTAAACCCTAAACCGAGCTTCACCCAGCAGCTGAGAAGGGTGGGGGGGTGGGGGGGGGGTGGGGGGGGGGTGGGGGGGGGGGGGGGGGTGGGGGGGGGGTGGGGGGGTGGGGGGGGGGGGGGGGGAATGGTGGATTCATGGGTCTTAGGGGGAAATAGTTGGTATTCTGGATATAAGCAGAAGAATCCATATTCTCTCTAAGTTCATGAATGAACTTAGGGATACTTGGAACTATATGTCTTAATTTTTGGGCACTATAATTCCTAAGAAACAGCAAAAATGATAATTTTTGCCAGGGTTCCAAGTTCAGTATAGTGCACCCTAAACCCTAAACCCTAAACCCTAAACCCTAAACCCTAAACCCGAACAAGAGGTGTGACAGCGCGCAGTGTCACAGCGACTTGGACGACGCGGCATACACCATCGGCGCTGCGCTGTACGACGCGTCGGGCCAGAGGTTGTGCAACGGGACCGTGGACCGGCGGCTTGAGGGTTTAGGGTTTAGGGTTTAGGGACAGCGTCGGGACTTCCGGCAGTTGGGTGTTCAGGGTTCTAGGGCTATGGTTTTCAAACCCTAGACGGTTCCGAATCAATGCTGTCCACCCAGCTACTAGGCCCAAAACTTACTAAACATAGGGTTTAGGGTTTAGGGTTTAGGGTTTAGGGTTTAGGGTTTAGGATATGTTTGCCCAATACATACGAAGGCGAAGCTAAGCTTTGTGATATTCCTGAATCTTGCAGCTCAGGTTTCGAGGGAGGCCCAATCTGCGACCGACTGGTGGCTTCAGCTTCCACTGCCCTCCTGCCCGCTCTTGTATCCGGTGACCCAGGCGCAGGGGTTTTGGAGTTTAGGGGTTTAGGGTTTCGGGTTTTAGGTTTAGGGTTTAGGGTTTAGGGTTTTAGGGTTTTAGGGTTTTAGGGGTTTTAGGGTTGTAGGTTGAGGTGCCCTAAACCCATTCTTCGGGCCCTCTGAGCCTAGACATACGGTGCGAGAGGTCTTCGTTCATTTAGAAGAAACTGCAAGGCAATCTACCTGGCGACCTGGACGTCGAAGAAGGTCAAGGTCAGATGGGAGAAGGGGCCAGTGGACGCGTCGATCAGCCGTGGGCTCCAGTACAGGAGCGCCCCAAACCCTAAACCCTAGACCCTGGACCCTACACCCTAAGCCCTCAACCTTAAATCCTCAACTTCTTGCGAGAAAAAGGGTGTAAGGCTTGCAGCCCGTTGGGCACCGCACGTATTTTGGTCCACATTCTTTTCGGCGAATGTCAGGTTTCATTTCTGGGGTGGGAGTGTACCTGGAGAGCCCTTTGTATAACAAGCTCTTGCTCGAGGATGTTTTTTGCTCGTCTGAATGGGGACTATATGATTGTTGGTTGTTCGCCCGTTTCGGAAAGGAAACGCTTGATTGCAAAAAAAGCGCTCGACGCCCCAAAAAAAGCTCGATCCCCAATTTGACGTGCACGATGCTACTTACTCGGTATCTACACTGCCGCAGCCGAACCCGGATTTTCAGGCGTAAGCTTTCCTCTGTTGGTCGAGCTAGTCTGTATGGCATGGGCCAGAGTCAGGAATTTCATCACCCTAAACTTCCTAAACTTCCTGCACTTCCTAAGCCCTAAACCTCCTAAACCTCCTAAACTTCCTAAACTTCCTAAACTTCCTAAACTTCCTAAACTTCCTAGACTTCCTAAACTTCCTAAACTTCCTAAGCTTCCTAAACCTCCTAAACTTCCTACACTTCCTACACGTCCTAAACCCTAAACCGAGACAAGCATCGGCTTGCATCGCTTTGTTCAGAGGCATGCTCGATGCCGGGTGCAAACTTTTCAAATTTGCAGAACATCAACTAACCGATTTAGGGTTTAGGGTTTAGGGTTTTTTAGGGTTTAGGGTTTAGGGGTGCGACCAGCCTTTTCAGCACTACTGTGCCCGGGCGAAGAACCACTGGTATGGCTATAGTACGGGCGTAGGTGTATCGAATCCGCGTCGTCAGCATACCGGATATCAACTAGGAGCCCACCATACGATACGACCTCTATCGAGAAAGTATGGTTTGCACAGACACACCATACGCATTATTGGCCAATCTCTCATGCTCCGAGTACATATTTTGCTCGAACTAACCGCTGAAAGGTAGGCATTGCTCGTTCGATCCGTTTTCGCTCGTTTTGTGCGAGCGCACTGCTGCAGAGAGAAAAAGCGCGAAAGCGCTACAACCACCAATCGAGTAGCAACAAGCGTATCAAAGGCATCGCCTTTACATTGGGTTTAGGGTTCAGGGCTACCAAGGGTATAGGCATTGCCCTGCATTGGGTTCAGGGTTTAGGGTTTAGGGTTTAGGGTTTAGGGTTTAGGGTTTAGGGTTTAGGGTTTAGGGTTTAGGGTTAGGAGTATTAAGGAACCTTGGTTTAAGGACTGGAGCACCCCCTTCCAAGTTTTTCCATCGCAACACTTTTTTCATAGGTCCCCGAACTTTCGGAGTCCCACGAAGCCCAAACATCCATGCTCTGAGAATGAGGTTTAGGGTTTAGGGTTTAGGGTTTAGGGTTTAGGGTTTAGGGTTTAGGGTTTAGGGTTTAGGGTTTAGGGTTTAGGGTTTAGGGTTTAGAGGTGGCTTTGAGGGTTTTCGGGCTTCAGGTGCGCAGTTTTTGGGTGTTGTAGGGCGTGACAGGCTGCAGTGGTTTTGGGGCTTTTGGCCTTCTCAAGGGGGGCTCCCCTAAACCCTAAACCCTAACCCCTAAACCCTAAACCCTTCTACTGCCCAAGAGAAGGACCACGATGGACGCCCTTCCTCCCGCGCAGCTGCCTAGCTGGAGGGATCTTCCTTGCGAAGGCCCTAACTGCAACAGCGGCGAGATGCAGTGGCACCGGGTTGTTGTTGTCTTTCGGAATTCCTAAACCCTAAACCCTAAACCCCAAACCCTAAACCCTAAACCCTAAACCCTAAACCCTAAACCAAACCCTAAACCGAAAGCCCTAGCTAAACCCTCAACCCCTCTTCTGGTGCAGGAAGCCCGGAAAGGCCCCTGAACCGTAGAACCCGTTGAACTCTCCGAGCTTCGTGGCTTTGAGTTCCCCGGAGCTTTTTTGGAGATTTTGGGGTCTGGGGTGAGAGTACCTTTTAGGGTTTTGGTTTTAGGGCTTAGGGCCGTTTAGAGTTTGTGTGTGTGTGTGGGGTTCTCTGCCCGAAGATCTGGGACATTTAGCAATGCTAAATTACCCGAAGCGCTAGAAATCGTTTTGATCATAGGGCCGTACACCCACATATAGATACCCTGCTGGAAGGTTCATGGTACTTGTTAACCAAGTATATCTGTACTTATAGCTGTACTTCTAACTGGCTTATAAGTGGGTTATAAGTACAGTTTATAATTGGTTAACAAGTACAATGAACCTTCAAGTCCTAAACCCTAAACCCTAAACCCTAAGGTGAGAGCTCCTGCGACTGCATCAGCGGCTGCACATGTCGAAGCTGGAGTGGGCCACCTGGCTTTTGGAGCACGAGCAACTACTTCGCAGGGTAGGCTCTACTTGGGGTTTAGGGTTTGGGGTTTAGGGTTTAGGGTTTGGGGTTTAGGGTTTAGGGTTTGGGGTTTGGGGTTTGGGGTTTGGGGTTTGGGGCTGGGCTTAAGGGTACGAGAACATGCTTCATTGTGTATGATCGGACGCCAATGCTCAGTAGGGCGTTCAAGGTCTTCCAGAAAATGCAAGACACGCTCGTAGAACCGGACTTTTCTGCCTTGCACATCTATTACCCTAAACCAAACCCTATTGCGCATACATCTGGCAAATCCACCCAAGTTGACCGAGCGCCGTCGCGTGGCGCCCATCATGCAAGCACGTCAGGTTGCTACAAGACCATCTGATCCCTTGAAAAAGCGCCCCCCCTGAACACGAACCCCTAAACCCTAAACCCTAAACCCCAAACCCTAAACCCCAAACCCTGAACCCCAAACCCTAAACCCTAAACACCCATCTGATCCCTTGAAAAAGCGCCCCCCCTAAACACCCCTAAACCCTAAACCCTAAACCCCAAACCCCAAACCCTAAACCCTAAACCTAGGGTTTAGGACTTTATCGGGTTTTGGGTTCTTGGGCCCCTCGGTCTGGCCCAGGGACTTCTACGGACTTATCGCTTCCCTCAGCCTACAGACGATGGGAGCCTGAGAGGTTTAGGGTTTAGGGTTTAGGGTTTAGGGTTTAGGGTTTAGGGTTTAGGGTTTAGGGTTTCTATGCTTGGTAGCCCAATGGTAGCCTTTACCCTTTTTGTTGTTTTTGTTTACCTTCTAAAAAAACCAACCCAAAAGAAGCGGTGCCCTTCTCAGAATATGGTTACTGGGCTACCAAGTATGCCGGACCCAGCTTTGAATGGGTCTCAGGCCTGAGGAGACTCCTAAAGCCCTAAAGCTCGCGGGGGCGGGGTTCTGGAAGTGTAAGGTTGGGGGCTCAGGGCGTTTTGGGGAGAAACCCTAAACCCTAAACCCTAAACCCTAAACCCTAAACCCTAAACCCCTCAGCCCGAAACGAAGTTCGGGCTTGAATCGCTCCCAAGTGTGGCTCAAGCCCCAGGCTTTTGAGTTCAGCCACAAGCGCTGAGTTTAACTTGGTTCCGAACCACCAAGGCCCAGTGAAAGGCTGAGCTTGTGGAGAGGAGACTCCAGAGCCATCCTCGGGATGTGCAGAAAATGGGGTTGTGGGGGGAGGGAGAGATGATGACGGGAAATGGGGGGGAGTTTGGAGTTTATAGAGAGTTTCGTTGATTTGGAAGGGGGGGGAGGGGGGGGCGTTGGGCTTGAGGGCTTAGGGTTCAGGACTCTTGGGCCGTACCGCGCGGTAGACTTGAGACGTGCAAGCGCACACATCTTGCGGCAGGATCCGGGCCTACTATTCTTAAAGATTTCAGCAGCAAACCCTAAACCCTAAACCCTAAACCCTAAACCCTCTTCAGCTCGAGCCTCGAAACTCCAAACGCTCAAGCCCTAATTAAACTTGTTCTGCTACCTATTGAGGTTTATAAAAGACAAAAATTGGGGTTTAGGGTTTAGGGTTTAGGGTTCAGGGTTAGAGTTGCCATAAGAAAAGCTCTTGGTACAGGGGCTATGTTGAAGTCGGGCCTTTAAAGTTCATACGATGACCCTGAGAAGGCCCCAAGCATCCGCTGAAGACCGAGCCGCTAGGTTTCACAGGGTTTACAGTGTTTGCGCTGTCAAGCCCTGAAACCCCTTAAGGTAGGTTTAGGGTTTAGGGTTTAGGGTTTAGGGTTTAGGGTTGGGGTTTCCAGGGTTTAGGGTTTAGGGTTTACAGGGTTTTGCGGGGCATAGGGTTTAGGGGTATTGGCTGTTTTTTCTCGATGACGACGAAAGTGTCGGCTCAAATCCAGAGTAGTCAGCATCAGCCTTGAAGCACCCGACGTGGACTTGGGACAATGTTTCCTCTCGCTTGTGTCTCCTTGCTATTGACACCTTTGGCTTTGGGAGTCGCAAATGAGGAGCTCAGTGATGGGTCGTGCGCCTTGTCTTTGCGAGCAGAGACACAGAGCTCACCGACCCCACTTCAGTTTGTTGGCGGACCAAGCATCGAAGCCACAGAATTTGTTCAAGCGTCACAAGTGCGCTCAAGGGACGACATGCCTTCCACGAAAGACTGCCGATGGGAACTCTTCGAGCAGCCTCTGTCGCACTTCGACCCTACAAATGTTACGTTCCAGCAGCGGGTCTGCATCTACGATGGCTACGTCGATGGAGATGGTGGACCTATCTTCTTCTACCCCGGGCATGAGTCACCAGTCGACTTCTATATCAACAACACCGGGCTTATGTGGGAGGTTGGGAAAGAGGTGGGTGCGCTACTTGTCTTTGCAGAGCACCGCTACGTTGGAGAATCTTCCCCGACACTGACTGGAATGAGTGGCTGCTTGAAGTACCTGACCACCGAGGAGGCAATGGCAGACTTTGCCAAGATCGCCTGGAATCTCACGCGCGTCGCAACCGAAGATGGCAGCTATGCTGCGCCGACCTCCAAAATCGTGGCTTTCGGGGGCTCCCATGGCGCGCGGCTCTCAACTTTAATGCGTCTCAAGTACCCGCACTTGATTTCGGGCGCAATCGCATCCTCCATGATCGCCAACAACATGGTGGACACGCCGAAGGAGGAGTGGGGCAATTACTACAGGGTGATTCGAAAAGGTATGGACTTGGTGCCACACTGCGGAGATGGCATGTTGGCAGCGACCCTTTTTCTTTGGAATCTAGGGCCCCTCTTGGGACATTTTTCTGTTTTGCCTTATCATTATTTGAGAAGATGCTCAGAATACAGGGATCCTTCGTTTCAGAGGGCTTTAGAAGGGCCAGCCGAGGAATGGCTACCAGGAGAAGAAGGCCTCACTCATTGCTCCCGTGCTAAATGCTGCCATACCGGGTCTTTGCAAGCCGGTGGAGACTGACATGGATCTCATCGGCCTTCACCAAGCGCTTACAACAAACTACCTTGACAAGCTGGCACGGTCTAGCTTGCCTTTTGAGTCCAACTACATGACCGCCGGATCTTACTTGGAGAACCCTGTTGTGCTGCCTCCCTGGGCCCTCCAAGCCCTGTGTGAGAAGTTCAACGAGACGGCGGCAGGAGTCACCATCACGGGCGACATGGACAAGCTCATCTACACAATGAAGATGAAGGGTGTGACCATAGAGGTGGATTGGGGCACCACGCTAAACAACGAGTACTCGGCTGAGGAGCTCAGCAAGAGTGGAATGCCTGAACTCATTGCTGCCATACTTGCGGCACAGCAGAGCATCTGGGGTGAGGGTCTCCTGTGAGAGTCGAAGAAGGCAAGCAAGGCAAGCACTCCTTCATCCCTCAGCGAGTCAGCATGCAAGGGCCTGCGGATGTCTGCACAAGGGAGCTGAACAGCTCGAAGGCATGGGGAGTGCTGGTCGCCAATGACCTCAACTACGCTGCAGAGGCACCGCCAACCGGCTTGGTTTACTCAGCCCCGCCTTGGCAAAGCTTCGCGCGTGACTGGACAGTCAAGGAGAAGATTCAGGAACAAGAAGCAGCCACAGCGAGGACAGTCCTGAAGTGGGCAACTGAGGAAGGGCTCCCAGGCGCGAGGCCGGGTAAAATTGACTTGTATGCCGACGAGTTCAAGTTCAGCCTCAAGAGCATGGTTCGCGAGATGTCGAATGTCTTCTTCACGGTTGGTGAGCTGGACCCCTGGGGCGGGTCCGGCCTCACAGAAGAGATGGCCATACAGCATCCGTCGAACGGGTTTGCCTTGATCAAGCGCGGAGGGCATCACGTCGACCTGTTTTTCAGCACCGACCAGGACTATGAGGAACTCCGTCAGGTCCGGGAAGATGAGAAACGGTTCATCAAGAGCATCATAAAAGGAAAGTGAGGCCATATATGAGGAGGCACGGGAGTTGAGAATTTCATTTCTGCAATAAATTTGCTGGGTAGCTGCACAAGCCAGGAGCACCCACACCATATCTCCCCAAAGACATGCCAGCACAGCAGTCCTTTAGTCGAGCTCTTGTTACTTTACAAGTATCATCATAGGGTTTAGGGTTTAGGGTTTAGGTTTAGGGTTTAGGGTTTAGGGTTTATGGTTTACGGCGGCTGCTGTTATCATTAGCCCGCGTGTCGAAGAAGTTCGGTTCGATGCTTACGGCCACAACCAAGGAAAAAGATTGCCCAGCATACTCAAGAGACATGATTAGCACGATGTTAACAATTGCTATTGTTGCCACAAACAAGCTACTGTGATTGTCACTGTTTATTCTCACTAGCTTCAGTATTCCAAGTGTTATTTTTCAGAATGCTTCTTGTTCTCATTTGTCTTGTTCTTCCTTTTTTTATACACGTGTATCTGTTGTGCAGCTGAGGGGCCTTCATAGGTCTTGTGGCGTCGAATTCTCTGAAGCGCGACGAAATGATTCCGTAGCTGTGCCAGGGTTGGTCGCACGGCAGCACACATAGCAGCCACTTGCTCGCACCTGCACGTGCCTGGGCACTGACCTGCGCGCCCTTGCAAGCACTGGAAGCCTCAGTGCCCAACGGCGCTTTCTGCATCTGAACTCCGGCCTCACCGCAGCGCGACTCCCGGGAGCATTGCATGAGGAGGATGGTTTTGCTAGAGCTGCTTATGAGGACCTATAGTCTGTGAGATCACCAGCCTGGCTTTTGAATCATGTAGTAGGCAGCTCGCGGTGCTGCTAGGCGACGAGATTTAGGGTTTAGGGTTTAGGGCTCTTGCTTTTCAGTGGCTCACTCAGAGGCGAACTTGCGATGTTCATCCCAGATACTTCTAGATCGCTGGCCGTCGGGCAACCAGAGCGCTGTATTGTGGGACCCTAAACCCTAAACCCTAAACCCTAAACCCTAAACCAGGCCAAAGAGTTGGTCCTGGTAGTGGTGTATCATCCCTGCCCCAATGCCTCTACCCACCAATGCCTCCCAATTCCCCTAACGCCTGCAAAAGCCCTAAACCTCTAAAACACCGAAAGCCCCTAGCAACCCCAAAAGTCTTTCAAGCAACGGCTTCAAGGCTTTATCAACACCCTTTTGGTAGCAAGCCTACTTGGGTTTTTAAACAACGGTGTTGAGGTTTCAAGTCTCAAAAAATTCCTAAACCCTAGCCCTAAACCCTAAACCCCGAATCCGATTTTTTTTGAACCCTGCAAGCCTTGGCAGACCCGGGTTGCCACGCGTGAGCCATGGCCTCCGAGATCGCCGTGCAGTGCGGGAAGCTGCCGGCCTGGTTCGCCCGGCAGCATTTTGGGGTTTAGGGTTTAGGGTTTAGGGTTTAGGGTTTAGGGCTTAGGGTTAAGCATCTCATGTTCTAGACTCTTTCTAGTCAAGCAAGTGTGGAGCTTTGGAAAGAAGAAACCCACCTGCCAAAGAATCCCGTAACATTGACAAAATACACAGTTCACCTCATTCCAGAAACGCGGGGGTGGGGGGGGGGGGGGGGGGGGGGGGGGGGGGGGGGGGGGGGGGGTTAGTACGGGGGGGGGTCTATTTTTTAGTTTTAACCTTGCCGTAAAGTCAATGACATTTATATCATTTATGATAGAGCGGTTTAGGGTTTAGGGATGAGGGCTTGAGGGCTTAGGGTTTCGGGTTTAGGGTTTAGGGTTTAGGGCTGGCCTCGCCTCCTAAAGCCCGAGTACTTCGAAGGCCCCCGCTGAGCTTGAAGCCAGGCTGCTCACCAGGCGCCTGATCCCGGAGGCAACCCAGGGAGCTGCGAGCTGACGGCTTTTTGCTGCTCTTGATGTGAGATTTTTGGGTTTGGGGTTTAGGGTTTAGAGTTTAGGGTTTAGGCTTCAGGGTTCAGGGCTCAGGGTTCAGCATCTCTTTGTTCCAGCACTAGTCAAGCACCTCGTCAGGCGACAGCTAGACACGCCCTCCCATCGACTCCCCTAACATCTTCCGTTTCTGCAGGACTCTCCTTATGCTGACCCTAGTAGCTAGCCCTAAACCCTAAACCCTAGTAGCCCTAAATCTGAAAGGCTCCAGGGGAGGCCCCAAAGCAAAGAATCCTAGGTGGGAACCAAACCCCAAACCCCAGCAGCAGCTCTGAAAAGGAACCATACAGAATGGAAAGGAGCCATAAAGAAGAGCCCTCAACAGGAACCTCACCTAAACAGGAGTCGCGGAAGGTAGCCAGTTAACCCTGGTAGCCCTAAACCCCAAAAGTTTAGGTTTGGGGTTTTGGGTTTGGGGATGAAACCCCAAACCTAAACGCCCCAAAGTCCCCCTGAAGGAAGTCTCCTATTGTTTTGTTGTTGAGCACTTGGGGCCCTTGCGGCTCTACACCCTGGAGTCTGTGCAGAGTGCCGATTCAGTTGTTTTGTAAGGGTTGTTATCGCACTTCTTTTTGTATCGGGTTGTTGTAGGGTTGTTATAGGTTGCTTGTTGTAGGATTGTTCAGGGGTCATGCGGCTTAGAGGGTTTAGAGGGCTTAGGTGGATAGGGTTTCGGCTTAGGGTAGCTCACGCCCTTGTACAGAAAGAGCCCTCAACCTTCAACCCACAAGCTCACCAAGCGGGACTGAGAATCTTTGCCCCGAACTCCGTCGAAAGCTTCCTCGTCCGCAAATGCCAGGACTACCCAAAACTCCTTGCCGCCGCGCAGGCCATGAGCTGAGACCAGCATTCGGGGATATGAGAAAACCCCCACCACCAACTTGATCAAAGATATTTCTTGGGATCTTCCCCCTTATACGAACAGTCCTTCATAGGGATTCTAGGAACCCCGATTATAAGCCCTATGACGGACTGTTTGTATAATGGGGAACATCCCGAGGTATTTCCCTTTATCTGGTACACAGGAATTTGGAGCATGAATTATGAGGGTTGGTGGGAGGTTGGCTTTTTGATAGCAAGGCAGGGAGAGGAAGCCGCATCATTGGAAATGCTTGGTAGTGCCACCGAGCGTGTCGAGGTACTGACAGGGTCGTGCTGAGCCTGAAGAAACTGAGTCAAGCATACGCATGCAGATAGAGATCCACCCCCCCAAAGAATCTCATTATGAGGCTCCCTGATATAGAAACCCAGCCCTCAACCCTGAACCCTACGCCCTACACCCCAAGCCCTTAGAAAATGCAAGGCTCTGTTACAATGGTAGGTACCCCCAGGTGCTTAAGAACCCCCAAAAAGCAAAAAGAATCCCCATATTGCCCTTAATAAGGAAGAATAATTTTATTGTTTGGGGGTTCTTAAGCAATGAAGAGAAGAGGTAGTCCCCAACCCTCAACCCTCAACCCTAAACCCTAAACCCTAACCCCTAAACCCTAAACCCCTAAACCCCCAAAAAGTAGTGGAATTCTGAGCAGCTCTGCAGAGTCGACCAAAGCAGTTTCTCAGCCTAAGGCCCGGGCCGAAGGTTGCAGAAACCCTGAGCCCAAAACGGGTCGAGGGCTCATTTGGGTTTAGGGTTTAGGGTTTAGGGTTTAGGGTTTAGGGTTTAGGGTTTAGGGTTTAGGGTTTAGGGTTTAGGGTTTAGGGTCTTCAGTTTGGGGTTTTGGGGTTTAAGGTCCTAAACCCGGAACTGCATGGAGGTGAGAATCAGCGAAGCTCGACAGGAGGCCATCTCCGACGAGGCAAGGAAAAGCTCTGGTGCGCTTTTTGTGGATGTAGGGTTTAGGGTTTAGGGTTTAGGGTTTAGGGTTTAGGGTCTACAGGGTTTACGGTTGCGGGTTTGTAGGGTTGGCATGGGTTTATAAGGGCAGGTTTTGGGGTGCTCTCGAAGTGCTTCAGGTGTGGAGATGGGTTGCTACAGGGGTTGTCATTCAGGGCTTCTAGCCTCGCAGATTTAGGGCATAGGTTTTGCGCCGGTGCTGTTGCCAGAGTCGTCCTGGTGCTGACATATAAACTGCGTTGCGCGTGTCAGGTTCAACTCTTCAGTGTGTTCCGAGCTGGAGTTGGAGTTGGGATGAAGCCTTCGCTTTGAACTTTTGTAGAATAGGTTTTTTTGGGGGGATACTGTGGATGGACAAAATCTTGCATGACCCCTTACGTTACAGATGTTCGACGGGTGGTAATCGAGCTCCCCGCGCACCTCGAATGTCAAATGTTGCGTGCGCATATGGATGATGCAGGATTTCGGTCGTTCACACACATGCTTTTCGAATCATTGCAAGGACATCAATGTCAAGATTCAGGGACTGGAACTGATGACCTGCATAGTAAAAGTGATGCAGGATTTCGTCCCATCAACAGTAATACGGTTTTAACTATAAAAGGACCATAAGGGAAGACTATTAGTACTTAGTCCGACCCCTATATTACATGTTTCAGTCTTCACTCTTGAATCTCGGCACCAAGTGCAGCCTCATCTTAATCCCTCCACTCATATGCACCGGGAAGGCATCCCGAGATCCACAGTCCAACTCCTCCTTTGAAGTCTCAGGGTCGTTTCATGGGCCCTTATAATATGGTCCCTTTCCTCCTTTTTTAGGGTTCTGAAGTATGGGCCCTGAATCTGTATAGGATATATAAGGGGCATGTAAGGGGTCTTTATAGGGTTTTTTTGAGGGGTATAGAAGGGGTGCTACCCCAAGATGAAGCCGGCTTCCTGGAGCCAGGCGGCCAGTGGGCTCATCTCTGAGCACGGGGAGAACGTGCACTACCTGGCCGCGAAGCAGATCTACGAGGCCAGACGGTTTAGAATTTAGGGTTTAGGGTTTAGGGTTAGGGTTTAGGGTTTTAAAAACCACGCCTTACACGCAGATCCTGAGCCCTAAACCCTGACACCCTTGAAGCCTTCCCCTAGCGATCGCTCTATGGCTCTATGGGAAGCCGGGGCATTGAGGTCAGTGTTGAACCTTCTCAGGCCCCCAACAGCCACCCAATGCCCACCCAAACTTACTAATTCTGAATTAAACCTTCGGGGATTAGGTTCCTTACAGTACCGTATACCGCCCTATGTAACCCCTTTAAGGCAGGACATACGGGGTACCTGATGCCCTAATTCCCTGCATAAGTCTAAGCAAGTCTGCCTGAGTCCGGCGTGCTCACGGCACTCCTAGACACCAGGCAATGGAAGGGCAAGTCTCCGTACGGGGCTTAGGTTACACGATGTTACAGGCTTCATGGGGTTCAGGGACTTCAGGGGTCTCAGGCTTTTGGGTCGTTTGGGGTTTTAGACCCTAAACCCTAAACCCTAAACCCTAAAGTACCGAAGGCCGTCGTGCAGACGCCCGAGGGCCAGGCAAAGAGTCTGCTTGGCCAGCTACCGAGCATGTGGGCTAGAAGGTCAGTGTTTAGGGTTTAGGGTTTAGGTCTCTAAAATAGCGTCCCCCAAAAAGGGACACCAGTTTAGAGAACTACCCACATGACGGCCAGATATTTGGAGGGTCGTGCTTAGGACCCCACCAAGGCCATCATTTCGAGAGCTTGATGGCCGGAGGGGTTCCTCAAGGTTGTGCTTGGAGGCTTGTGAAACTCTTTGGGGGGGGGGGGGGGGGGGGGGGGGGGGGGCGAGCTCCTGAGGTTCTGACACTTGGTTAAAACTGGCACGTTCATTGTTGCCATGGTGATGACGATGTGGGTTCTGACAACTTGAGACTGGCTGTTGGAGGACCGCTTTGCGTGGGGTTGCGCTGGGACTTCATGTTGATGTCCTTGCAACGGTGTTGCTAAAAGCCCAAATCCGATTTGATGATTTTACCTGCAAACCTAAAACCTGAAACCGTAAACCCTAAACCCTAAACGTACCGCTGTCTCGTCTTTGAGTCTTTTGGTATAGTTGCAAAGCTTCCGAAGGGACTAAGGCCTTGTCGCGGTGCACGTCTCCCTCTCTCTCTTTATAGTAGGGTTGTAGGGTTAGGGTAGAAGGTCTATCAGGTTTAGGGTTTGTAAGGTTTGTAAGTCCTAGAAGTTTTGATCATGGCTTTAAGGTTTATTTAGGCTTCCGGATTTTGGTTTCGTACGCTTTCGGGCTTTTAGGGGTGCAAATGCACATGCATGTGTACCGAGGTGGGCATACGCACTCTGGCCCAGCGAAGTGGAAAGCCGTCCTGGACGCGTGCGCGGGTGTGGACTTCCAAAACCCCACCGAAACCTCAAAACATCCAACAAAACCTTATGCAAAGGCCCCTATAAACGAAATGTCGCTGGGAAGAGAGAGACACCACATGCTTTTTCTGGCTGGTTCTTTGTCGGGAATGAGGGAATGAGTACCCTATATAATTAATCCCTTAAAGGGTATACATGGGGTCCTAATCCCCTCATTCCTACTAAGAACCAGGGGGCCTTTCTCCTTCAGCAGAATACTCAAGGCCGACCTCTCGGTACTGCTCGACGCGAGCCATGGTTACATGTTGCCTAAAGCTTTTTGTGAGGCCCTTTCAGGTAGCCAATATCATGGAAGCCAGCATAAAAGGAGCCGAAGTGAGAACAAAACACACACATGTCGACAGCTCCCTGGTACTCGGTCCCTAAACCCTGACCCCTTTCGAAGAGGGGCCTTAGTTTAGAGGGCTGTCCATGTTGGGCTTAAGGGCGTAGACGGCCTTAAACCGTAAACCCTAAACCTTAAACCCTAAACCCTAAACCTTTCAGCAGGTACCAGCGCCGCCACCTTGGCTGGGCCAGCGCGGCGGGACCCTGAGACTTCAAGCGGGCGCCCACGCCTGCTCGTTCAATGCACAGACCTTGGGGACCAAAAGAGCCCTAGAAGGGTTTCTGGTTCATATACCTGAATAGGGATTATCGTATAGGGTATGACCCCAAGTGTTGGGTTCTTTTGGTCCCCAAGGAAGACAATATGCTGCGACTCTGTTAGGGGTTTAGGGTCTTGGGCACTTGTGAGTATTGATATCCCTGTAAAGGAAGATGTTGGGGGACATGCTGTAAAAGCAGGTAGTGTTTTAAAGCACTTGATTGGGGTTTGAAAGGAGAAGGGTTTTACACGTGAACCCTCATTCGCTCTACGCCCCATGTCCATCCCGAATTTCTGTAGGGCTTATGAGGGTTTAGGCTTCGGGGGCAAGCTTTGAGAGATGTCAGGAGTAATGTCCACCTTTTGCCCCAGCCCCTTTCCGGCACCTAAAACTTATCATAGATGCTGCGCAGATGTAGAGCATGCTCTGAAATAGCACTGTCTGCTGCACTTGGCAGCCCAGGAGCCCAAGAAAGGGTGCCCTTATTGTAATACGGTTACTTGGCTACCAAGAGTAGCAGACTGATCCACATAGAGTTATCACAGCCATACCTGCGCAGTACTGTGGCCCGGAACTCACGAACATGAGTCAACCGCGTGCGCATGACAACCTTCGGCGAATACTTGTACCGGCCCAGAAGAGTAGGGTTAGGATGCTCAAGTTTTGGGATGTTCACCCTTATACTCGCAGTCCTTCACAGGGATTATAGTAGGGGGGTACTAGAATCCCTATTAAGGACTCTCAGTGTAAGGGGGACCATCCCAATTCAAGTTCTTTAAAACCTGGCACAGCATAGAAAGCATCGTCGGGTTAGGATGTCAGACTTCTCGCAGTTGAAGGCTTGGAGGCCGCATTTGTTGGCCTTCAAGCAGCTTAGCTTCCCTGTCGGGTAGTTTCCTACATGATGGGCCCTTTCGGGGTCCCCAGTCTAAGGCGTCACCCTAAACCCTAAACCCTAAACCCTAGACCCTAGACCCTAGACCCTAAACCCTAATTTAGAGAACTACCGGAAAGAAGAGAGGGTGCTGTGTACCTGGAAAGGCCCGGCTGCTGATCCAGAATGTCAACTACGAGATCCCCGCCTTGCACCTCGGCCCTACAGGGTTTTGGGGTTTAGCGTTTTGGGGTTTAGGAGTTTTGGTCTTGGGGTTTAGGGGTTTAGGGTTTAGGGTTTGAGGTTTATGGGTTTAGGGCTTCGAGGTTTTGGGTTTTTCAGGTTTAGGGGTTTTGGGTTTTGGGTTGAGGTTTAGGGGCTTTGGCTTTACGGTTTGCGGTTATGTTCTCAAAGCCTCGAAGACCCACGGATCATCTTGCTTCCAGGTGCGGGGCTTCTATTTTCTAGCCCTAAACCCTAAAGCCCAAACCCTAAACCCTAAACTCTGCAACCTCCCTTGGGAGGCTTCTATTTTCTGAGAACCGGAACCCGCAGCCCTAGGACACTGACAGAAAGGCTCACGAAACTCAACCCCAAGCCCTCAGCCCTCCTAAACCCTGAACGCATCGAGCCGCGCTGTTCCCGCGGCACAGGGTGTTCTCCCCAAACGTGGTTTTTCCCTGTGCCGTGCAAACTCCGGGTTCGGAGTAGCAAGAACACGAAAGTGTGTCCACATGCCACATCTGGCTCAAAACCCTCTCCCGGCCTCCTAATCCTGCCTGTATTCCTGGACCCGTTTTTAACGAGCTCCACCAGTAGGAGTGTTCGGTTCTGGCGCCACCCTCAGAAGCAGGCGTTTTCGCCCTACATCATAAGTTCAGAGTCTTGAGGCATCGCCAGCCTCAACGCGAGTGTTGAACTCCAAAGTATGTAAAGAAATGACTTAAAGCCATAAAGGGGGCCATTGTTTTATGTACTTTAGATAGGGCAGGTAAACCCTTGACGCTGAGACTGCGAGGAAGAAGCACGCAGCCTCCTGCGAGCGGCAGGCGCGAGAATGCAGCCCAGGGCCGGGACTGAGGGACTGAGCCACGCTTTAGGGTTTAGGGTTTAGGGTTTAGGGTTTAGGGTTTAGGGTTTAGGGCTCTTTTTGGAGCTCGCTGGGTAGCCAGTAGTTGGGTTGTTTTGGGTTACTGGCTTCAGACCGCCAAAGCTCGTGTCGGCCTAACGCCTATCCCTTTTTTTTTGGGGGAGGCCCTATTTCAGATTGGCTGTTCAAAGAGGCTCGGAACCAGAGAAAGGGCGTTGCATGTTCATGAGTCATGTGTCCCCGAGCTCCCTCAAGAGCTTCCTCCGAGAAGCCCCAATCTGCTGTTTGGATTACTATTGGGCTTAGGGCTTAGGGTTTAGGGCAGGGACCCCCCAAACCGCTTGGCGGGCAGGTTTCAGACTGCACGGCGCGCGAGGCGCATGTTTTTCTTGCGGAGCTGGCGGAAGCAAGTTCTGTCGGAGAGGTATTGCTTTTGGGCATGACGGCTGTGCTGGCGATTAAGGTTTGGGGCGTTCAAGGTTTCCTTGCAATTTGCTGCTGAGGCTTTGAGTGGCCCATAAATTTGCAAGAGGAAGCAAGGCCTACCCGCCAAACCCCCAACCCTAGAAAAGCCCTAACCCAGAGGGTCCATTTGCAGTACTATTCCGGAATTGGGTACCGCCAAACCATACGAAATAGGGCTTTTGGTACCCTGAATCAAGAACAACACTACAAACAATAGTAAACAGCCTAAACCCTACACTATAAACCCTAACCCCTAAACCCTAAACCCTAAGTTTAACCCTAAACCCTAATCTCTAACTAAACCCTAAACCCAAACCCCTAAGCCCTAAACCCTAAACCCTAAGCCCTAAACCCTAAACCCTAAACCCTCCCCACTGGGTAAGCCAGGAGAACTCCAAAATTGAAAGCTTCCCTGTACAGAGGCGGAGCTCGACCGGCAGGAGGCCAGCGCGCGCACCAGGCCTGGCCAGGGAGAAGGTAGGGCTTTTACTCCCAAACTCCCAAACTCCTAAACTCCTAAACTCCTAAACTCTTAAACTCCTAAACTCCTAAACTCCCAAACTCTTAAACTCCTAAAACTCCTAAACTCCTAAACTCCTCAACCCTAAGCCCAGCAAACAAAGTCAAGCTGCGCTTCGGCTCGGCTGAGTGGGGTTGGAGAGTTGGCAAAACAGCCAACCCAGACGAGACGGGGCAGTGTTGTCAATACTTTAGGAACCACCTCAGGACGAAAGGGCCGTTTAGGATGTGGTACTGTAGTTGTTCTGTCGTAGCCGCAGTAGTCTTTGTGCCCTGGCACTTATTTCCTGGCGTGGTTGGTTCTAGTGCATGCGTTCCAGCGGCTTGCTTGTTGCAGTTTTCTTGCTACTTGTCGTTGTCCAGCATCCTTCTTCGGTTGGTTGAACAAGAGTCGGGCTTGATTGAATCTTGATGCTGGGAACCTTCGGGTTGCCACTAGGGTTTAGGGTTTAGGGTTTAGGGTTTAGGGTTTAGGGTTTAGGGTTTAGGGTTTAGGGTTTAGGGTTTTGAAGACGCGTTTCTCGGGTGTTGGGATTGACGTGGGGAATTTTCGAAACTGAGGGGTCGTAGGTCCAGGCCGAACACGAACCACGAATGTTTTGTCAAACCACGAACAACCCGTCCTCCTAGTCGGTCCTATCCAGCGCCGCCAGATATCGCGAGCTTCTGGCGGAGATGGGAATTGAAGGTTCACCCCCGCGCAATTTCAGGGTTTGGGGTGGTTGAGCCGGAGGTTCTGGCAGATTCTTGGAGTGTGCCTCCGGATAGCGCTCTGAAGCTTGCATCAGCTTGAAGGAGTTGCGGGCAGCCGAGGCTGCGGCATGAAACCCACAAACCAATCTCACGAACAGTCTAAGCCGCCGTGGAGCCCTGTTGGGGCTTCAGTGCACTCAGAATCCGAAAGGGCTTAAGGAAACCCTGTTGGCATCGCCCCGACCCCTGTACCCTAAACCCTAAACCCTATCACCCGACGATACCCGGAGCCCGAAAAGGTCTCCTTGCCCAGCCCCACAGGCTTCGACATCCGCAAGGAGCTGAGGGCGCACTCGGCTCAGGACCTCTCCGATTGCGTTGGGATTTAAACCCTAAACCCTAAACCCCTAAACCCCTAAACCCCTAAACCCCTAAACCCCTAACCCTAAACCCTCAACCAAAAACACATTTTTGTTGAGTTTTCAAGGATCCGACTCAGGGTTTGAAGGATTTTGGGGGGGCCTTGGGGTTTCGGGGCGCCTGGGGACTTTCCTCTACAGCCTTGGGGACTACATGAACCCTAAACCCTATACTTACTATAATTCCGATTCAGGGTTTAGGGTTTAGGGATTCAGGTATATGAACCATAAACCCTGTACTACTATAATTCCTCTGAAGGTAGATGGACCATAAACCCTTTTATGGTTCATTTCCCAAGCAGCAGGCTCTGGAGTTACTATAGACTCTTACAGGAGTCCTCTTTTTTTTTGGGGGGGGCATCTTTCTGGTAAAGTCCATTAAGACCATGCTTCCCACCCTCGGTGTGGGGTTGTGAGAGATGTTAAACTAAACCTCTTTTCCTCGCCCCGTCTGTTCCTCAACCAGACTCTCCCCAGTCCCCAAAGTGTCCCTCGAGCGCCCACCCCCCCCCACCCCCCTCCCCAAAAAAAAAGTATGCATCCATGTGTATATATATATATACAATAATAATAACAATAAAAATAATACTCATATTTATACTTATAACTATAATATAACTATAACTATACTATAATATAGTTATAAATCCAACTCTGTAGGGTGGGGATGTCCGAAGCAAAAACGCATTATTCACGTGATTTACCATGGCTCTGTGGGATGGATGGATAGTCTGAGCTTTCGACCCCCCAAGCCCTGCTCTACTACCCTCTTGAGGGCTGATTTGTTGGGTTCCCAACCTGTAGGGGTTACATTACTATATCCCCCTTGGGAATTTGTCTGTTTGTTCATATAAGCCCCAAGAGGATATCTAAAAAATCTTTGTTAAGGTTCTAAGGGGAGGATAGATATTTGTTCCCCTCAGCCCTCGGAAAGCCCCATAGAAAACAATTAGAGTACCTTTTCTTTTTCCGCAGCCTCCTCCAAAGGAACTCTAGGCCTTCTGGCCCCCTTCCCTCCCTGCCGGGCGCAATCCCTTTACCCTCAACCCCAAACCCTAAACCCCAAGACCCTAAACCCGAAACCCAAAGACCCTAAACCCTAAACCCCATTGCCCGAAGGAGCTTCCAAAGCCGGGTGGCTCAGTTGGGGGGGGGGGGGAGGGGGGTTGGGGAGCGGGGGGGGGGGGGGGAGCGGGGTGGGTAGCGAGAGGCGGGGGGGTGGGAGGGGGGGGAGCGGGGGGGAGGGGGGGGGGGGGGGGGGGGGGGGTGGGGGGGGGGTGGGGGGAGTGGGGGGGGGGGGGTTGGGGGGGGGGAAAGCGGGGGGGGGTGGGGGGGGGGGGGGGGTGGGGGAGGGGGGGGGGGGGGGGAGCATTCATGAGGCATTCCCAATGGTAGGGGCCCCACAGTGCTAGAGAATCCTCGGGTTTAGGGTTTAGGGTTTAGGGTTTAGGGTTTAGGGTTTAGGGTTTATAAGAGACCCCCCCCCCCATTTTCGGAAACCCTCCCGACATACTCGATGGCGATGTCGGCGATGCTGGTGGTGATGTTGATGATGGCGACGACGACCGCGATGATGTTGATGTCGACGCGGGGCGGATGGTGAATAGGGTTTAGGGTTTAGGGTTTAGGGTTTAGGGTTTAGGGTTTAGGGGTTCAGCAGGCCTTCGATCAAACACCATGCCTTGCCTTCCCGACGAGTCGGCTCAACTCTACACTCGTCAGCATCAGCCTTCGAGTTCCGAGGACCCGGCTCGGAACGATGCCTCCGCTCCTTTGTCTCTCCTTGCTATGGACATCTCTGGCTTTGGGAGGGGCAAATGAGGAGCTCAGCGATGGGTCTTGCGCCTTGTCCTTGCGAGCGGAGAGACAGAGCCCACCGATCCCACTTCAGTCTTTCCGCGGACCAAAAATCGAAGCCGCGGAAGGGTATCATCAAGTGGCACAAGCGCGCCGCTCAAAGGGCGATGATAGGCCTTCCACGAAAGACTGCCGATGGGAGCTCTTTGAGCAGCCTCTGTCGCACTTTGACCCTACAAACGTCACATTCCAGCAACGGGTTTGCATCTACGATGGCTACGTCAATGGAGGGGGCGGACCTATCTTCTTCTACACTGGGAACGAGGCAGCAGTCGATCTGTACGTCAACAACACCGGGCTTATGTGGGAGCTTGGGAAAGAGGTGGGTGCGCTACTTGTCTTTGCAGAGCACCGCTACTTTGGAGAATCTTCCCCGACACTGACTGGAATGAGTAGCTGCTTGAAGTACCTGACCTCCGAGGAGGCACTGGCAGACTTTGCCAAGATTGCCTGGAATCTCACGCACGTCGCAACCGAAGATGGCAGCTATGTTGCGCCGACCTCCAAGATTGTGACTTTCGGGGGCTCTTATGGTGCGCGGCTCTCCGCCACAATGCGTCTCAAGTACCCGCACTTGATTTCGGGCGCCATCGCATCTTCCATGGTCGTCAACCAAATGGTGGACACACCGAAGGAAGAGTGGGGCAATTTTTGGAGGGCAGTTCGATACGGGATGGACTTGGTGCCACATTGCGGAGATGGCACGTTGGCAATGACCCTTGTTCTTTTTGATGCCATGATGAGCTCAAAGGCCTCGCTCATTGCCCCTGCGCTGAATGCTGCGATGCCAGGTCTTTGCAGGCCATTGGAAAGTGGTGCTGATCTATTCTCCCTTGGCATCGCACTCGTAACAAAACTGGAAACGCTGGCGCAGTCTAGCTTTCCTTTTGAGTCCAACTACATGACTGTCGGAGGGTACATGGAAAATCCTATTGTGCTTCCTCCGTTCCCACTCCAAGCCCTTTGTGAGAAGTTCAACGAGACAGCGGCAGCAATCAATATCACGGGCGACATGGACCAGCTCATCTACACAATGACGATGAATGGTCTGACGGTAGAGGCAGATTGGAGCAGCACGGAAAGCAATGATTATTCGGCTGAGGACTTCAACACGAGTGGGATGCCTGAACTCATTGCTGCCATATTTGAGGCACAGGTAAGCATGTGGGGGGAGGACCCATCAGCCGTCTTCTTGTGCCCAGTGCCGACGACGACTACGACTTCGACTACGTTGGTCAGTGATGATGTTTGCAGAAAGGAGCTTGACGATGACTCAGAAGCCTGGCGAGCGCTGACCGTCAATGACCTTTGGGCCTGGGCCAATGCACCACCTACTGGCTTGGTTTATTTAGCCCCACCTTCGATGCATTTGGACCGTGACTGGACTGTCAAGGAGCAGATTCCATCTGAGGAAGCAAAGAAGGAAACAAGCGCCCAGGGCTTGGCGAGTGATGGGCTCCCAGGCGCCCGGCCGGGGAAAATTGACTTGCGCGCCAACGAGTTCAAGTACAGCCTGAAGAGCATGGTTCGCGAGATGTCGAACGTCTTCTTCACGGTTGGGGAGCTGGACCCCTGGGGGTGGGCAGGCCTCACAGAAGAGATGGCCCTACAGCATCCGTCGAACAGGTTTGCGAAGATCAAGCGCGGAGGGCATCACGCCGACACGTTTTTCAGCACCGACCAGGACTACGAGGAGCTCCGTCAGGTCCGGGAAGCTGAGAAGCAGTTCATCAAGGACATCATCGGAAAGTGAGGGTGCGCATCTGATGTTCAGCATCGCGCCAGATATAAGGAGCGCACGGGAGTTGAAGAAGAACTTCCATGCAGAATTTATCTCGTCGTCACGGATCCTAGTTAGTCAAACTCTTGCTGCTATTCTGATGATGACCATCATCATGATTACAGGCACGACAACCAGTCTCCTTGACAAGCAAGGGAAAAATCGGCTGCAGATTCTGCGGAGCTTCTCCTATAAAGGGTTTTCAGGGGGGCATGTAGGCAAGTCCCTAAACCCTAAACCCTAAACCCTAAACCCTAAACCCTTCAGCACTTCTTGTCTTGACGTTGAGGCTGGCTCTGGAGATATGCACCCTTCTACGTGAAGTTGGTGAGGCGCGGCCTTTCCCCTCTAAAACTCGCCAATCTGGGGGCTGAATTAAGCTGGGGCCTTCTTTGTGAGGGGGATTGGGCCTTCTGTAAGGAGACTGTCAGAATCCGAAGTAGAAGGGCTACTGTAGCTAAAGGAGCTCTTGATGTACAAGAAACCCGCGGGCTCCAAACTGCTCCAAATTGCCCCCAAAGCCCTGCACCCAGCCTTCAGCAAGAAGCAACCCTAAACCCTAAACCCTAAACCCTAAACCCTAAAAACCTACCACACACCACCGACAGAGCTTAGCAAAACTGGCCAGCCTTTCCAGCGCAGAGAACCCCGAAACCCTCGGAGGACCTCCACAGATACTACCGGTCCTTTTCTGCACACGTGGCGGGCAGGCTGCGAAGGGGGCCTGTGGGGGGTGGTTTAGGGTTTAGGGTTTAGGGTTTAGGGTTTAGGGTTTAGGGTTTAGGGTTTAGGGTTTAGGGTTTAGGGTTTAGGGTTGGGTTTAGACCTCTGGGGCTTGAGGCTGGAATTGGGGTGGGTTTTTTTGGGGGGCTTCTTGGTGGGCTGGGTTTTGTGGGGTTTTCTTCGGTTAGCATGTGGGGTTTAGCTGGGCAGGGTCGAGACATCTCCCAGAACTCTCCTCGTGTGCTCTTATGCCATGCGCGCCAACTCCCAATCTGCTTTGGCGCCGAGTGACGTTGCCGCTGTTCAGCCCTAATCGTAGCCCATTGCCAAGTCCATAGCCTGTTTTCAATTCTGCAAGCTCAAACAACTCGATATAGACTTTGTCCCAAACCTCATCCCCTTCAGTGCCCCTAAACTACATGAACTGTGCAAGACTGCAAGCCTAGAACAGGGCAATGGAAAGGTCCGAAGTGGCGCAAAACCTTGTCCCGACCCCTTGGTGGACAGGCCGTTTGAGTCCGGCGAGGCCAGCGGGGTCCCGGTGGGGTTTCTGCAGAGTTCCCTTACTTGTGCAGATTGTGAGTAGTTGAGTGTCGACCAAACAGCCCCCCGCCCCAACAATTCTCAACCCCAAGGCCCTTCAGTTTAGGGTTTAGGGTTTAGGGTTCAGGGTTCAGGGTTTAGGGTTTAGGGTTTAGGGTTTAGGGCTTCAGTCCCTAAACCCTGAACCCTAAACCCTGAACCCGATCCCTAAGCCCCGTATGGCTCCCGTGGGCAGGTCCTTCCTTTCCTCCTGGCCGTATCCACCTCGGGGGAGCTCCCCAGCCTCGAGGCCCAAGCTTTTCTTTAGGGTTTAGGGTTTAGGGTTTAGGGTTTAGGGTTTAGGGTGTAGGGTGTAGGGTTGGGGGGGTGGGGTTAGGGTCTAGGGCTTAGAGGAATCTGGCGAAAGCCAGTAGACGACACCTATTTTGGGGCTTTAGTACGACCTCTTTTGAGGCTCCAACAAAACCGTGAACCCGCCTAAGCCTTTTGTCCTCCCTGGCCTCGAAAACCCTGAGCCCCATGCTTAGATTTCTAACAACACAGTGTGTGTGTGTGTATATTGTATATGCATCTCTATGTGTATATACATATATATATATATGTATATATATATATATATATATGTGTGTGTGTCTGTATATACAGAGAAATTCATAATATGCCTTATATATCTACGTACATCATAGGTGTTGTTGGACCCCGAAACCCTGAAAGCCAACCCCGCCCCGCCCCGCCGCGCCCTCCCCCCCTCAAATCCGACGTCGGAGCCTCAACCCGCAACCCTAAAACCTCAAACCCCAAAACCCTCAACCCTCAAATCCCAAACCCCTAAACCCCTAAACCCCTACACCCCTAAACCCCTAAACCCTCGAACCCTCAACCCTCAACCCTCAACCCTCGGCACCAGGCCTTGGAGGCCGAGGCGGGAGATCTCTGCGCTGAGGGGCTCAGGGGGCTCACCCTACACCCTAAGAAGCCCGAAACCCTAAACCCTAAACCACCACCCCCCCCCCCCCCCCCCCACACAAAAAAAATAAAAGAGCAAAAAGCAGGAACAACAAGCCCTAGTGTTTTGGTGTAGGGCATAAGGTTGGGGGCCTGGGGCTTGGGTATCGTTCGTTCTTGCTCTTCGTCCGCCGTGACCATGACAGCCGCTGAAGAGCCTCCAGCTTTCACACGCTTCATGAGAGCCTGAAGACCCTCAACCTTAGAAGTCACTTGACTCACCGCCTCAACCTCTCGACCTCTACCAACCCCCCGCCACCCCTCCCCAACCCTAAACCCTAAACCCTAAACCCCCAAGCCAATCCTGCACTTGTGCGTGTGCAGGTGCCGTCATTTCGCACGGCGCGGGCCGATGCCGCCAGCCTGGCTCCCAGCTCTTGTAGGGTTTAGGGTTTAGGGTTTAGGGTTTAGGGTTTAGGGTTTTGGATTACGATCATCCCTTGAGGGCCAAATGCAGCCTGAAAGGGTTCATGGTTCATGTACCATTAATCGGAGTGATAGCAGGAGAAAGACTGTATGATCTCATTTTTAGGGTTCATGTGGTGCCCTTTGGGGGCTTCAGGCTACGGTGTCAAAAGAAAAAGGTCCCTGGTTGAGGTCAAGGCCTCCAGCTGTTGGGGGTGATGATGCGTGGGCTGGCCGCAAACACTTGCCTTCCATGGTACTACTATTTGCTTAAGAGCCCCCCCAAAAAGCAAAAATGATACTCCCTATAGTGCCCTTGTAAGGAAGAATATTTTTAATTTTTTGGGGGAAGCAATTTGTACGCCCTAAACCCTACACCCTGCAATGTACGCCCTAAAAAGTGGCCCAGAGATCTCGGGCAAAGGCAAAGCGAATGCGACAGCTGCCATGAACGTCGAGGCGGGACCCGAAACCCTGAACCCTGAACCCTAAACCCTAAACCCTGGACTCCAGGATGTCTTGGGCTTGGGATGTTCATGCATCGTGCTTTTCATTCAGAAGTCCCGAAACAGATAACCCCCACACAGTGTTGAGGGTTTAGAGTTCAGGGCTGTGGTACCGTGTGGAACTTGCCGGGTTTTTGTGGGATAGGGGATCCCATTGTTCTTCCTTCGCGGTGGGGTTGCTGTTGGGTTTTCGATTGATTGTCTCCGTTTGTCTTCTTTCATTTCCCCCCTTGTCCGGTGCTTTTGCCACCTTTTTTCATGTGCGGCTCTTATGGGTGAGAATTCAGAATTCAGGTTCCAGTAACAACAGTAGCACACATATGGCAATCCTACTAAAAGTAGTATGATGTATATGTATGTATATATATATGTACATAAGTATGTTCTTTAAGATTCTGGAGCAGCTTGCTGTGAGCTGTCTCCAGTCCTCTACAAAGATCGTCGATATACACGGCGGCGACCGACGGCGTTGCCTGACGGACCTGTCGCTGTTTCGATTGTCTCTTCCTAGTCCCTTCTTGGATTTTGTTCATGCAGGGCTGCTGTCGGCGTATTTCGGTTTCGGAGCACTGTGCTCTTTCTTTTCTGCACCCGAACAGATGGCCATCACTTGGGTCACCTTGAAGGCCCCCGGCCCCAATCGCCCATGCTTCTGAGGATTTGGGCATCACCGCAGAGAAAGAGGGCGCCACGGAGACAGGCGTCCTGTCTGCTAAGACGTCCCCCCTTGCCAACAAGATCCACCGAAAAGTGTCCCTAACCCTAAACCCTAAACCCTAAACCCTAAACCCTAAACCCTCCCTGAACCCGTACTGGAGTTGGATCTTGAACTTCAACATGTTACCCCAAGGGCCGTGAAGCCAATGACCCGAAGACCCTGAGCGCAACCGCCAAAGCGGAAGCCCCGAAAGCCCATGATGTGGCAGATGTGCACAAGTATGTATATGCGACATGCATACATCCGCACATACGCACATACATACATACATACATACATACATACATACATCCAGACATATATACGTATGTGGCATGGACCTTTATGTATTATTTGACGTTCTCTCTTGTTTTGTATTTAAAAACCTATAAACAAACTAAATCCAAGAAACCTGAAGCACAAATTCACCAATTTCGTTCTCTTAGGGTTTAGGGCTTACGATTTATAATTTACTCTTTTTTTTGATGTGAACGTACAGACGCAGTCAGATGTTGGCAACGAATACTAGCTATCACTTCTGCTCTTGCGTGGGGGATGATGCAAGCGGTCTCTCGGGTCGAGCTGCGCACCGTTGTGCGCACATTGAAGTGTCCTGTCAGCTGTCGTGCCCAATTGTTGCTTGGTGTGGATCGGCAAGATCACTGCTACTGAAAGAGGCATCTTCTCATGAAGATGCCCTAACTCTTTCAAGACATCTACATTATCATTCAACGCGTACAGACGTCGGTTCGACAACCTGTAAAACTTCGTACTCTTCTTCACAAACTGAAGTGGACGCGAGTCCTGCTGTGCCCTGAACCGTCTCGTGCAGAAAACACTCCCGCAGAAAATCACCTTGAGACACATGCCTTTACCGCAAGCATTGGAATCATGCAGCCGCACAACCCGCTACAGTCCACCTCCGCCACGGACACTCCCATGACCGCAGAAGCCACTGCCCCGCCGAGAAGGAGCCAACAAAAAAAAAGCAACGACAGCACCCATTGCAAAAGACCCGCGAAAACTTCTCGGATAATCAGTGACCATCATACAACAATCGGTGAACAATCTTAAGACACTAACTTTGCGGACAA